GGGAGCGACCACAAGAGATCGCTAAAATTGCACGGTGATTCGTGCTAAGATACCCAGTAGTGGGTGAAGCGTCGAACCCTGTCAAGCGACCAAGGTTGAAGACGACGCCGTGGCAAGAAAGTCTGAGAGAACGGCTAAGTCTGGAACACAAGATCTGTTGATCGCATGAGCGACCAGGGGATCTTGGGGGTATGGCGACGCCACAAGGGTCAAAGTAACCCGAAAATGGCTAAGTCAAAAGAGGCGAGGTATTCTCTGATTCAATTCCGAGGAAACCTGAACGTCAAAAGTAGGATGCGAAAGAGAAGAAGGTGAAACTTGTAAGTAAACAGGTAACATCAAAATACATTCACAGAAATGTTCATTACATTTCAAGGATAATCTCTTGCATCTGCTACAGTACAGTTGAGAACAATCTCTACGTAAGGAAGGATACTTCCCCATACATCTCCTACAATGAAAAACAACAATCTAAGACTTTGCGAGCGAAGGTCTAGGGGGGACAGGCAGGTTTGAAAGGTAGTTCAGCGGCTGTTTAGGCAGGCAAAACTCCGATCACCGGCCGTCCAGGACGACCACCTTTCTTCCCCAACATGGAACGGGAGTGGTCGCCCCCAGCCTCGGCAAAAACCCACCGCCCTTCTCCTACCAAGGAAGGACGGGGGACGGCTCACTTCTTTGTGAACCCCAACCAGCATCACCTAGGCGAGGACGGAGATCCTGAAGCCACCCGAGCTACTTCAGGTCGCCTAGGGGTATTCTGGGGAAGTGAATGGCAAGCGGGGCGAGGTAGGGAAGAACCCAGTTCTTCCCCTAACACAACCTCCTCCGTAGGCCTCACCGGCGAACTGGTGCGACTTTCGCTAGTCCATCGCTCAAAACTTGCATAGTATGCGCACTCATGCTCCAGGAGGGGTAATTGCTCATCTTGAAAGCTCTCCCAGGACATACATTGCAGGGAATGGAGGGGGCATGGAGCATCCCTGTCAATCCGCCCGTCAGGCAAGCGGTTGGCGGAGAGGGCCTCGTACGCCTCACTAAAGTCTTCATAAGGGTTTGGAGGTGGTGGCGGCGGTTTCACCGACGGCCACTGCCGGCGAGGAAACCGGCGACAGAATTCGTAAGGGTCAAGCCCCCCCCAGTCATTGGAATTGACTGACTTGGGGGAGGAGGCAGGCTCCGGCGAAGAAGGAGCCGGCCCGTCGGAAAGATCCAGAGAAACAGGAATTCCTTCAGACATGGCGAGAATGGAGAAAAGGAGGATATTTGGTGATGGAGCAGAGTAGAGGCCAGGGGGACTTATAAATAAGCCAGGGTGAAGGAACCGAAGAGACGGTCAAGTCTCGAGGCAGCCGAACCAATAAAGCAGCCTTGAGCCGTGCGAAGGTCCAATCAGAAACGGTGAAGGGCATTGGATCAATTGGGCGGCACGATGGCCAATCCAGAGATTGGGCCCGGACAGATAAACGAGCCGGGACTAGGAGTTGGGCCCAAACTAAAACATACATGTTAACCAGCTAAATCAAAAAAGAGAGTGCTGAAGTAAAGTGCCAAAGAGAGAAAGCACATGGTGAATCTAGAAAATCAAACAACATAGGAGCATTGTATCAAAACGACAAATCATTCTGAAGGAAAAGAGAGAGGCAAGTGTTTGTAAAGCTATGGGGGAACAATGAGGGATTTAGACGGCCGAGCCGGAAGGTCCACCCGCTTTGGACATGGCTAAGCTGGCCCCTGGATTCTGGTCGCTCTGACCACCTTCCACTTCCTCTTCTTCCTCTTCTTCCGACGCACTCGAGCTCCCCCCGTCCAGATAGGGACTGGGGTCGAACTCGGCCAAGGAGCGGCAGGGAGGAGGGAAGCCAAGGTCGGGGAGGGAGAATCCTTTGGGGAGCTGGGCCAGCCTGTCGTGGAAGACCTGTTGAGCGTGGAAGAGTCCGCAATTGAAGGACTTGGTTCCCTCCTTGACCATCCATTGAGCCCCAGGTTCAGTTTTGAGCCAAGCGGCTGTTAGCTCTTCCATCCGCTCCATCGCGACTACCGTGAAGTCAGGAGAGGACTTGAAGGATTCTACCGCTCCCTCTGCATGGCGGACCCGATCGCTCCTCTCCACCTCCAACTGCTGGATCAGATCAGATTTCTCCCCTTCCAGCTCGACCACTCGAGCAGAAACAGATTCTACCTCCAAGGACAAGGAGGCCTTGTCTGCCTCAAGGGCGGCACAACGGTTCTCATGGGAAGCTTTCTCCACAGCAAGCGCCGCGCAACGATTTTCTTTCTCCTCCAACTCCCTGGTGAGTCGAGTGACCTCCTCCTGCAGCTCCTTCTGCTTGGCCTCAGCTGCTTTCATCGCCTCGTCCGCGGCGGCCTGGCGACCCCGTTTTCGCCCAACCACCTCAATCATCCCCAGCGTAGCCTGCGCAAAGGGGTGAGGGTTAGGGGCATAAAGAAAAGGAGTGATGCATAGTCGATCAAGACCAGTACCTAACTGAGCCTCAAAAGGACCATGTTGTCAAGGTCGTCCTCGGAGCGTGCTGAGATACGAGCCTGGTCTTCTGCAGGCAGAGTGATCAGAGTCTCCAGCTGTACGTCCCCTAGGCTTTGGGGCAGGGGAGGGATGCAGAGCCTCGTCGAGCGACCCCCGGTCGCCACCTCGTAGGTCACTGCGGGTGGTGAGGGAGGTCGCTCCAAGGCAATGCCATGAGACGACCCAACGAGGTCGCCACCCTACATCGCGGGGTGTGGAGGGGATTGGCCAGCCATGGTACCCGGTTCCTGGGTAGCATCTTCTTGGTCCTCCACCACAATTACGGCCGGCTCTCGAGAAGGACTCTCCTCGTGGTGGGATGAAGAACGTTTGCCCTGGCCCTTCATCTCTCTTTTCCTTTTCCTCCTTGCAGTGAAGCGACTGAGCAGGAGATCGCTGTCCATCTCCTCTCCTGAATCTTGTAATTCCACTGGAAACAAAAGAAATGGTCAGCCTTGGGAAAAGATAAACTGAACATCTGGGCAAAAGAAAAGGTCACCTACCAAAAGGACCACAATCAAGACCTTCCTCAGGAATGTCCTTCAGTTGGCCAGGCTGATGCCCCTCGGGGATGTCCCTCAGTAGGTCGGGTTGGTGGCGAAGCTCATCCTGAACAAACTCAAATCCCAACCCGGCAAGGGTTTCCTCTGTCACCACCTCTTTGATGTTCATAACTCCCTTATTGCAGAATTGGCGAGTGATAGACAAAAGGGTGGCATCAGGTGGGGGGCGTGGGATGCGGCGGAAGGAAGGGCGCCCTGAACCCGTGAAAGGAGATTCGGGCCCTGTCGAAACGAAGACAAAGAAAGGCTTCCAGTCTTTGGTTGACCCCTTCTTATCACTAGCAAAGAGTTTACTGGACCTCTGGGAAAGACTGGCATAGGACGCCCAATCTTTATGGCCCTTGGTCAGTTTGAAGGTGAATATGAAATGGTCCAAGGTCGGCTTCACCCCTACATCTTTGCACCGGACCAGGTAACCGGCGATGTACCGGTGAGAGTTGGGGACCAGTTGGCATGGGAGAAGGTCCACCANTTGAGGAATTCGATCAACAACGGGTGGAGTGGGAAGCGCAGCCCCTTCTTCAAAGACGCCAGATGGACCGTGAAGAACCCCGACGGTGCGTCTAGAGCAGTTTGAGTACTGGTAGGTCTCATGACCTCGATGGAGGGTCCAACCATGTCAGTGGCATCGGCGAACCCCCGGTCAGTAATTTGACAATGGCACAACGCCATGATGTTTTCGTCCAATTCAACCCTTGAGCCCTCATCTACCGGAGTTGAGGAAGGGTATTGCTTCCTCAATCGACGCCATTTGTGGCCAGGCACGGCCGACGGCGACGGCCGGGGTGATGGAGTATGGCCGGGGTTACGGTCAGAGGCCGATTGGCCGGCTTGGCGAGAATTGGACGATGGGGTAGCCGAATCGGAATCTGAGACAATCATGGCGGCGGGAGAAGGAACTGACCTGGACAGGAAGAAGAACGAGTCGGGTGAGCAGCGGAGTTGCAGACGAACGGTGGTGAAGAAGGCGAAAGAAAGAGATGGCGTCCAGCGGCAGTTTTTAACTGACAACAGGAAGGCGAATCGGCAGGCCATGATTACTTATTTGTGGAGATCGTGCCCAAGTGTCGTGCGGAACCCAAGGAACGGCCCGGATCCCCGCTGGGGCGTCCACGTGGACTTTGCAAACTCCCCACTCCTCCGCTTGGCCCAGCTGAGGACTGAGGAGTTGGGGGGCTTATGATGGGCCGATATCCAGAGGACGGCCCAAATGAACCATTTAAACAGCTTCGGGTCAAGCGCCTGTGAAATACTCAAGCTGGGCCGGCCCAAGGAGCTGGGCCTAGTTAACCTCAGGCCAAGCGCAGCTGGCAGAGTCAGTCCGGAGAAGGAGACGGAGCTGATTGGCCGTTACGGAGCCGGGAAAAGGGGATCGCGCCCTTGGCGGGATAGATTCCATCGGTTATGCATTACCTTAATTGTTTAGAGCTTATGTATAAATAGAGGGGACCCGAAAGGGGAGAACTCAAGCTAAATCAAGCTAGTAATACACATCCAATTCTCGAATTCTTGTTCTTAATTTTGTTCTTACGATCCGCTCTGTAAACCGGATCATTTGGTGGATTTATTGTCCATCAGTCATATAAAATGATTTGAAAATAGTTTCAGTCAAACATTGTAAACCGAAACAGACGTTATAAAATGGGACAGAAGGAGTAGAAGAGAAGAACTTTGGGGCGGTTGGCGGCCAGTTGTCGCTAGTGTCTCGATGGGCAGGACTGGGAGTACCGATATGCATTGAAGTTGATGTCGGCTTACGGAACCCCCACACCAGGCAGCCTAAGTAAAAATTCATCGCCATTGGGAAATATGAATGGTCTAATTGCCTAAAGAGATTAGTTTTACCCTTTTTGTCCCAAATTAGATTCTAATTTCCTATATATGATACAAAACATGGATGATTTAAAATTAATTTATTTAATACACCCTCTGTCTGAAAATATTCTTTTCTTTGACTTTTTACAATCTCTAATATTGCATTTTGTCCATTAATATCTATATTTGTACATAGATATATTTTATAATATTTTGATATTTCAAAACCCCGTTTCAATATAAATATATTGATATTAAATTTATATCATAATACAATTTATTTTTTTTCACATATCGTAGTTAAAGTTTACAAACTTTGACCATGAAAAGTCAAATAGGAAGATCATTCCCGGACGGAGGGAGTAATTAGTACCCCGTATATGTATAATTAATAAAATTTACATGTTAAAAAATTACATCAAAAATAAATAAAAAGAATAAAATAAATTTTTTTTTATCAAATAATCAATAAAAATTCATAAAAGAAAAAAAATAAAAATATTGAAAGATAGAACCAACAAAAATTATAATCCATTTGGGATTGAGTCTAGTGTCCGGCTCAAAAGAACGGTCCACTATAAAGTTAAATTTGCATTTTTTTGTTTCTTCAACCGTTAAAGTTAAAAATCATACGGCGTTTATTCCAATTTCCAGGATGATGAGAGTCATCTCTGATTCTTCTCTTCCCACCGATTTTAATAGCTTAAGTTAGAAGCTAAAATCATCATTTTTATCCTTCCTTTCTTCTTCTACAGAAGCCCGAGCTGAATTTCCTAATTTGTTCGGCTATATTTGGAGATGACGACCATGGAAAGCTTGATAGGTTTGGTGAATCGTGTTCAGAGAGCTTGTACTGCTCTCGGCGATTACGGCGGCGACGGCGACGGCACCGCCTTCTCCTCTCTGTGGGATGAACTTCCCGCCGTCGCTGTGGTCGGTGGCCAGGTCAGTCATATCAATTCGCTCCTCCTCCTCCTCGTTTACGCGGGAAATATAGTTTTATTTTTATTCGTTTTCTGTTTTTTTTCTTTTCCCGCAATTGATGACTATCCTTGGACTAAATTCAGAGTTCTGGTAAATCTTCTGTGCTGGAAAGCATAGTTGGAAGGGATTTTCTTCCCCGAGGATCCGGTGAGCAGAAACGAGCGTGTGTATTCTCTGCTATGGAAAAATTCTAACCTTCTTCCATTACCAACTCAAGCCCTTGGCCAATCAACTAAATTATTGTTTGATTAAGAAAAAATATAGCCAGGAATGAAGAGCTAAAAATGGGGTTAACAAACATGCAGAGTGTAATGTCTCTCCGTAGCTTGACGTTCTATATTGGGTTTTGGCAGGGATTGTTACGAGGCGGCCGCTGGTGTTGCAGTTGCACAAGACCAAAGATGGGCTGGAGGAGTATGCGGAGTTTGCTCATTTGCCAAGAAGACAGTTCACTGATTTTGGTATATGAATTATCTATCATTATCTACACTAATACAGTATATTGTATGTTTGACAATTTTTATCATGAAGTTTTCTATTATGGGAATGTGTGGTTCTCTTTTGCAGCTTTAGTCCGTAAGGAGATTGAGGATGAGACCGATAGACTTACGGGGAAAACAAAACAGATTTCTGCCGTTCCCATTCACCTCAGCATCTATTCACCCAATGGTATACCCTACATTCCCTGCATTACCTTGAGGGAGTGAGGCTTTTTTTATTAAGTTTCTTTCTATATCTATCTCATTTTCTGACCATTCCTCATGGCTTGACTACATTGACAGTGGTAAACTTAACCCTCATTGATTTGCCCGGTTTGACAAAGGTTGCTGTTGGTGAGTGTTTTCGTTTATCCATCCCTCTACTTAGGTGATCATTTGGTGTTCGTTTAAGGTAATCCCAATAGGAAACAACTAAAGTTTTGTGTATTGCAGAAGGACAGCCAGAAAGTATAGTCCAAGAAATTGAAAACATGGTCCGAACCTATGTCCAGAAGGTAATGCTGTCTTATAACTGCATGATAAATTTGTTGGTCACTTTGACATTTGAGTTGTGTGTTCACATCTCCGCCTCTTGAACTCTACCTATATCTTCATGCCATTGCTATCATGAGTTGTGACTTAGCATTATCCACTTATGTCCCCTATTAATGGCTTTGTAGCCAAACTGCATTATACTCGCAATAACTCCAGCCAATCAGGATATTGCCACCTCAGATGCAATTAAACTTTCAAGAGAAGTCGATCCATCCGGTTTGATTTTGACACTCATGGTGTTCTAATAAGATAATATATGTCTGCACCATTTTTTCTTAAGAAAAGTCTCATATTTATGCAGGGGAAAGAACATTTGGAGTGCTTACGAAACTTGATCTGATGGATAAAGGGACTAACGCTTTGGATGTGAGCATTTGGTGTTCAGAAGCATATGCGTTGTGTTGTAAACTTCTATAATCCCATTATGGATCACCAAACAAGTCACTTTTCTCACAATTGGAGTTGTTTTCTTGCCACCTAAGGTTCTTGAAGGAAGAGCTTATCGCTTGCGATATCCTTGGGTGGGTGTTGTGAACCGCTCCCAAGCTGATATAAACAGAAAGGTAGACATGATTTCTGCCAGGACAAAGGAACGTGAATATTTTGCTACAAGCCTGGACTATGGGCACCTTGCGAGTAAAATGGGTTCAGAATACTTGGCAAAGCTTCTCTCGAAAGTGAGTACTAGAATATAACAGTGTCATTATTTACACTAGGGATATAAATATACATATGGAGAGCTGTTGTAAATATATTGGTTTCAGCATTTGGAGTCTGTGATTAGATCAAGAATCCCAAGCATTACTTCTTCAATAAACAAAAACATAGATGAACTTGAATCAGAGCTGGACCACCTTGGTAGGCCTATTGCTCTTGATGCAGGGGTTAGTTTACTTTTCTCTTTCATCATTGCTCTTAAAATATTCAATAACATTCTTACTTCAACAAATGCATTTTTTTTTATTTCAGGCTCAACTCTATACTATCTTGGAACTATCTCGTGCCTTTTACAAGATATTTAAAGAGCATCTAGATGGAGGGTATGCAACTTATGTTTTGATTTTTTTGGTTCACTTGATTCCCTTTTTTTCAACAACTAAGCAGCATAGCCATACTTTACTAGCTAAGTTGTGAAGTAGATATTTTATGCCATCCGTTCCTTATTACTATGCATTCATTCTTTCTTTTGTTGTTCCATATTAGTGTGGAAACTATTTAAACTCCCTTTCTTCTTTTGGAAAGGCTCACATAATCCAGCTCTTTTACACAACCATTACTTTTAATACTACCTCACCCCTGTCGCATTTACTCCATTTCACCCACTTTTTCATTCCCACTTAAACATTTTCTCTCATTAAACAAAAATGTATACTTTAATAGCCATTTTCACTTGTAACCTATGTGGCTACTTGTGAGTCAAACCATTCGCACTAATAAGGAACAGATGGGGGTTTTCAACTCTTTTTTTTCTTTCAAAAAGAAGTCGTGGTTAGCTATAACAACAAATAGTAATTTTCCAGAGTGGGATTTTGGGAGGGTGGTGTGTACGCAGACATTACCCCTACCTAGAAAGTAGAGAGACGATTTCCAAGAGACCCTGGCACAAGACACAGGGCAAAACAAATGAAGTACACTGAAAGAAAGAACACAAACAGAAAGTTTAAACTAAGGCACGGACACATAAGCCACAAACTAAGGTTCAGAGTCCTCAAAGGACTACCCTACCACCCTAATCCTAGAATTCAAGAAACATATCCTCGGTAAGATCTTGTAGTAGTAAATCATGTCTAATCAACTCCTTTCGATTCTACCCATCTTCTTGCCCCTACCAAGCTTATCCCACCCCACACTTGACTAGGTGCATCTCCTCAGGATGTGTCCAAACTACAAACCATTTCAATATAGTTTCATGCAGCTAATCCTCTACGCAAGACATTTCCACCCATCCTTGAATGCCCTCATTCGTTTTCGTATGACTAAACATCCATCTCAACATCATCATCTCTAGTACTCATACCCTCTAAGTTTTAGCATCCTTCACCCTGCAGCCCTCTACAGCATATAAAATAGTCAGTTTGACCACAATTTGATAAAAAATTCTTTCAGGTTCGCCAATATCCTCTTGTCGCGAAGGACTCTTGGAGCAAGCTTCCACATTTCCCAAGCGGAACCAATATGATGCCACCTTCCGGTCTGAATGATAGATCCAAGGTGCCGAAACCTGCCCTTTTTAGGCATTAGATGTGACTCGATACTCATTTCCAGTTCCAACACCATCTTCCTATTGGCTACCACTGAGGCAACATTCCACGTGCTTGGTCTTAGTCCTGCTCATTCTTAAACCTTTGGATTCAAAGGTCTGTCTCCAAAAAAAAAAAAGACAAGCAAGTCACATAAATTTGGTTAAACAATAAAGAGTAAGGTTTATGGTTTGTTTTGCAGTTGTAGCATCCCAAAAGTAATTTTTTTACACTAGTCAAACATGACTCTTTTTTACTAACGTAGTGCATGATTTCTTTAACTCCAGAATCCAGATGTTCTAAAGCATCTGAGACTATTGATAGCTTTAACCCTCAAATAGATGATTTGAAAGCTTTGGACCAATGACCTTTTTTTTATTCCTATTGGTTTTCTATATTGCTCACTCACATTTTAACTTATCATTCACTCAGCCGACCAGGTGGTGATAGAATCTATGGCGTTTTTGACCATCAGCTTCCTGCAGCTTTGAGAAAACTTCCATTTGACCGCCATCTATCTACACAGAACGTGAGGAAAATTGTTTCAGAGGCAGATGGTTACCAACCACACTTGATTGCCCCCGAGCAAGGCTATAGAAGGCTTATAGAGGGATCATTGAATTACTTTAGAGGCCCAGCTGAAGCTTCAGTAGATGCAGTAAGTGTTAATTATGTGTGTAGTTTATTGTAATCAATTTTTTTGTGTATTTTAGGTTATTTATCTCGTCCACTTGTTTGATCTTTTTAATCTGTAGCTTGCCTTATCTTATAAACAATATCAGGTTCACTTTGTTCTGAAGGAACTTGTGAGGAAGTCAATTGGTGAATGCCAGGTTAATCTCTCTCTCTCTCTCTCTCTCTCTCTCTCTCTCTCCCTCTGTGTGTGTGTGTGTGTTTTGCTCTAATGGGTTGGGGGAGGCGTTAAATTGGGTTTATCTCAACCCATAAGGATTCTGGGGTGACTGGGTGAGGCTATTTATATATAGACACTAATATACTAAGCTCAAACCCAAGCGATAAGTCGATAACCAATGTGGGATACACTGCTCACCTCCTCAACACAACTGAAAGGGTGAAAAAAAGGGTCAAACCAACCCAAACAGGCTGCCCCATCCATGGAGTGGGCGGGCACTCCACAACCATCATTGCTTATGCTTGAACTAACAGATACTCAAATGAGTAAACGACACATTGCTAATCAGGTGAAATTCTTTCTCCCAAATATTATATATTCGCATAACTTTCTATTCTTAATGATTGTATAGGAGTTGAAGCGGTTCCCTAGTTTACAAATCTCCATAGCTGCAGCTTCTAACCAAGCCTTGGAAAGGTTCCGCGAGGAAAGTAGGAAGACAGTCGTTAGACTTGTTGAGATGGAAGCTGCCTACCTTACAGCTGATTTCTTCAGAAAACTGCCCCAGGAAGGGGAGAAAGAGGGAAGTGTGGGTGCAGCAGCAACAACAACAACAATGGACCATTATACAGAAGGTCACTATAGGAGGATAGGGTCAAATGTGTCGTCATATATCAGCATGGTATCAGGTACGCTCAGGAACACAATTCCCAAAGCAGTGGTTCACTGTCAAGTGAAAGAGGCCAAACAGTCTTTACTCAATCACTTTTATACCGTCGTCGGGGGTAAAGAGGTACTCTTTTCCTTATATACACTCCTCAACTTTGCTCTCACCCTTTATCTCGCATAGGTTCGAACACAACACTTCACAAGTTGAAATCACTACTCTTCAAAAAACCATTCTTTTGAAACGTATCACTTTCAACTTAATGAAGTATTTTACATTTAAGCCCATTTTATTTAGGTTCATACAGACTGGTGTCTTCTTTATGCCATCTAAATGCAATCTTGCATGCTGGGTACATCAAAAAAGTGAGAATAGCGTTGCTACATGGGCACTAAGAGTGAAAAAAAACTATATTTTCATTAAAAAAAATACAGACATTATTTTGTTACAAATGAAGTCCACAAGATGAATTTTGTTTAACTTGAACAAAGGAAATGGGAAAGTGAGTAAGATTGATGAGTTATTAGCGTTGTGGCTTATCACTTGGTACATGAAAGTGAAACTACAAGATACATTTTGAAAAATTCATAGGGAAAGGATCTTGGAAATTTGCTTGATGAAGATCCGGCATTGATGGAGAGGAGACAACAATGTGCCAAGAGGCTCCAACTGTACAAGAAAGCTAGGGATGAGTTTGAGGCTGTTTCTTAGGCTTCATGATAAATATGAATGAATTCACTATTTTAATTAGTACTTAATCATGCTTGTCAAAATACTTATGTTTGAAGTATAGGCTAATACCATTAAAAAACCAGTTCATTCATACTATTACTCATGAAAATGGTTACTATTTAGAAATACGATTACTATTTGGAAATGCGGTTACAATTTGAAAATATAATTACTGTTTGTAAAGCTCCAAAAAACATCGAAATAATTGGGTCAACTGCGAAAAACATTCCTTCATAAAAGTAAAATAAAAATCATATAATAATTCATGCAATTTATGTATAAAATATAAACAATGACTTAAATTACTAAGCTTAATTTGCTCTTGAAAAACAAAATTAAATCTCTTGAAAGATATTTTGAAGACATTTTGATTTTTTTCATATTCTTAGGTGGTAGAATACCAATGAAGAATTCCTTAATAGCACTTATTTCATTTTTGTGGATTATGTCCCATGTTTCCGGCCAATCCTTCGGTGCCTCTTCTAAACGGGGGGTTTTAAAACCTTCTCCATGTGGCACAATATGAAAGAGACATGTGGACATGATATTTTAGCTCTTTTGAGAGCCTAATTTATTCTTGTTAATTCAATATTGGACCCAATCTAAAATTAATTACTTTTACACCATGTATTATTATTTTGTTAACAATGGGTTAACGGAACGGCCTGTTTTGTGCAACAAAATGAAAGTTGGAATTATTTTGAATGATTTTTTATTTTTTATTTATCTAAATATTTATTTAAGTTTTTAAAAAAAAATTCTATATAAATTTATTTTTCGTTTTTTTAAATATTATTCTTATCTTATAAAACAATAAGTATAAAATATCAAATATAAAAAATAAGTATATAGAAATATTAAATATAAGATTTTGGTTATTTTTCTCATTTTTTTTATTTATATCCAAAGTTAGACAAATCTTTAAAAGAATACAACAAAATGAAAGTTGGGCTATTTTTAGTGAATTTTTTTATTTATCTAAATATTTATTTAAGTTTTTAAAAAACTTTATACATAAATTACTTTTTCCTTTTTTTAAATATTATTCTTATCTTATAAAAAATAAGTATAAAATATCAAATATAATAAATAAGTATAAAAATATTGAATATAAGATTTCAGTTATTTTTCCCATTTTTGTTATTTTTTATATCTAGTTTTTTATTTATATGGCGCTGAAGGGAAGAAGAATAAACTAATTTTTGATTAGGGCCAATATTAAATTAATAAAAATAATTTAAGTTCTTAAAAGAGATGAAATATTATGTCCACATGTCTCTTTCTTATTGCGCCATATGTGGAGGGTATTAAAACCCTCACTTTGGAAGATGCACCGAAGTAATTGCCCAAATGGGACTAAAACAATAAAAGTATACGGAGCATTGAAATATAAATGTTTTATTTTCAAAGAAGCCACACTTTTATAGTGCTCAACCACAAGATATTTAAGGTAGTGTTTGGGAAGTCATGGAATTTAAATTCTAGAATTTGAATTTTGAAATGGGTAAAGACACTAACGGAAGTGGGTTGATATGTATGGAATTGTTATTACATATGGAGAGATCACTCTTTGATTACAAGTTCTAAATTAAAAAAAAATTGGATTTGAATTTGTAAATGACATTGGAGAGATGAATTTGTAGTTGCGTTAGTTTTGAAGTAAAAGAATTTGGTCCAAATCTAAATTCTTGAAGTTCCCAAACGAGTAATTTGGATCAAATCTAGATTTGAAATCTAAATACAAGTTCTCAAACACACCATAACACATTTTTTAGTATTACGTCCTGACATAGAAAAAAATGGTTGTTTCTACGTCCATCTCTCATTTTGTTATATTCACCCCTTTTTAATTTTTATATCAAAGAAATAAGTTTAACATTAATATGTAAAAAAAGGAAAGATTTAAATGAAATGACGAATTGGTCATTTTTGGATTCAGCTAAACAGGTGTAGATTTAACAAAANTATGACATGGGTTGGGGTTGGGGTGGTTCGGCTGACATAAACCCCTAAGTCATCCTATGACAAGGGTCCTATTTGGGGCACCCACGGTGTTTCAATTCGTTCGAATATTGATAGTTTTTACTACCTTTTAGTAGGGGTGGGCCAGGAAAACGAAAACCGAAAACTGAATCGAAATCAATTGAAATGTGCCAAAGAATAAACCGAACTGAAAGAACAATAACTCAATACAAAAAATTGAACTGAACTGTTTCCAAACTGTTCTATTTTTTTATTTTGGACTATGAAAACCAAACTAAATCGAAAAAAACTGGAATATGTAAATTACAACTAAGAGTTCCAAGATGAGGAAAAGGTAATCATTTTTGTTATATTAAGTCCTTAATTTTTGTAGGTTTAATTGTTTAATTTATTTTGTTTTTGCATATTTAATTGTTTAAATTCATTTTCAAAGTTTAATTGCTTTGTTTATGATAAGCCTCTTTTTTGCCTTAATTTAGTTTTGGATGTTAAAAAGAAATTCAAAAGGTACTTCGTATAAAACTCTAAATTGCTCGTTTTTTTACATATAAAATTTTGAAGATGCAAGTTGAAGTTTGGAAAGTAATATTTAGAACTCTAATTACATGTTGACTACACTTTTTTGGGCTTTTATTTTTTATTATGAACAATTATGAGGTTACGTTGGTTGTTTTATATGTGATCAAGTATATACTTTATGAACTTCCTCAATTTGAGGTTGCAATTCAAGTGTTTGGACAAATGCTTACATGTGTTTGCAATTTTTTAATATTTTTTTAATGTGATAAATTGATATAGTTTTGAATTTTTTCTTAAAAACCAAATAACCGAAATAAACTAAGGATCGAACCGAAAAAATCAAAACGAAAAACTGATCATTCACTTTTTTTATGAAAATTAAACCGAACCGACAACTTAACTTTCGTTATGTCTTTGGTTTTAAAGAAAAAACGAACCAAAAAAATCAAACCAAAAACACCGAATCCACCCCTACCTATTAAGTCCCCGATAAACCTCCCCACACAAGCACCGCCGCCGGTGCGGACCTCCAACCAACCTCAACACAAACACCGCCACGGACCTTCGTCTTTCCATCAACAACGACCACCAATTGCCGGATTCCATTTTTTCTTGATTTTAACCTCCTTCATTTTTCTAATTGAATTCAAATTGTGTTTCAAAGGGAATGAATGATTTCCAATTCTAAAGGGAATTCATTTCCTGGCCTTTCCAAACACATTTCTAGAATGACTAGTTCGTTAAGTCTATTACAGCTATGACAATTTCCTTGATCGACGCACCCACTTAAAAGCTCCAAATTTCCCAAAGGTACTCTCTCCCACTCTCTCTCCCTCACATATATGCATGTATAATTATAGTGTTTCAGTGTGTATAATCAACATTTATGTTTTAAGATGGCTTCTTTGGGATTCTAATTTCAAATTTCATTTCAATTTTGTACTATTGTGATGAAGCAAATGGATTCAATCTTGCTTCTTTTTGGTTCCATGTTTTATTTTTTTCTATTTTTATGTATTATTAGATTGTTGTAGGTGAGTATATAGTGATTGGGAGAGTCATGCAACCTAAGGCAAGCTTGTGCAAGGAAATGCAAACTAGAGCTCATGTAATCATGAATGAAAGCTATATTCCAACCCGAAGACCCAAACTAGATAACAAAGTTGGTATTTTTTTTATACCATTGGCTCATGAGAAGATCTTTAATGTTTGTTTTCCTTAGTCCAATGAATCCATAAGGGTGGAATTAAAACATGGAAAATGATAAGTCCATTATTTCAGTACATTTCATTATCTTTTAATATACTTATTAACTTGAATTGTTCATCTAAGATGTGATTTTTGAATTATATATGTTAATTGGTTCATTTTAGAGCCTAATTTAAAGACATTGGTGGATTTGTAAGCAAACTTAAAGAGCTGGGGTCAATCTCCATTTATGAAAAGTTCTATTCGAATACTATTCTAATAACAACGGGGATCTTTTGATCTTGAATCCTAAGTTTATTTTATGACCTGGACATTTACAGTATTCCGTTGATAAAATTGATGAATTCTATTTTTCCTTCTCATTTCTCTGATTTTTTGTGTGTTGACACCTATAGGATCACGAGCCTCAAGGTATGAACTTCCAGACGAGCAATCGGGTTCAACAGACCATAGGTCGTTGGATATACATTCCACACAAGCAACTAAGCTAAAGGCTAGGGCTGTTAGAAATGAACGTCTAGACGAACACCTTAACAAACGAAGTGGACTAAAACTGACTCCGATACCATGATAAAATTTAATTTGGTTCATTGATACCATGAGTTGGTTCCTTGACAAATACGAGTAGTAAATTTAATTTCAAAGAAAAATTGAAAGTTAAATTAAAAACCCCATTAAAAACTTGTATTATATTGAATGAGTTTTCAAATATTTTAGTACATGAGTTTTTTTCTCAGATGTCAAATGCATAAAAAAATCAAAAGCAATTGAAATTAAAAATATAAAATAAATAAAAAATAAATGAAGAGAGATTCGGATCTACACTACGACTTCAACGCACCCCAAGTCAATAAAAGATAAGGATATCTAGAGTTTTTAAAAATTAAATGAAATATAAATCAGGCATTATCGAGTGGGATTGGGTGAGTTTATGCACGAAAACATAACTCTACTCGATAAAAAAATAAAAGTTAAAGGTTTCTACGCAATGCATGCCTTACAGCGCATTCAATCGCAATGCCTACGGATATTGTGCATATTCTCTAAATTTGTGTATTTTAGTAACCAAAATATATTTTATAACTCAAATGAGTGTTTTAATAATATTTTGCACTATTAATTAACACTTATGCTTTAGGCTTTAATTCATTATATTATAAATACCTTATTTGGGACGTAACGCTACTCCCGTATATCTTGTTCGAAACGCTAATGCTAACCCGTAATGCTTATGTCAAACAAGACCACAATTATTTAGATATGGAGCACTATTTTTTTTAATGGGCTTCCTAATTGTTATGCTCCCTATTTCTTAATGAGCCCAGTTCTATGGCCACTGGATTCCAGTGGCCATAGAACCAGACTCTTTCTTAATTATTGTAGCGTATAAAGCCAAGTTGTGATAAAAGGGTGAGTATTGACTAATGAGCAAGATTCGGGAGGGGGGAGATGGACGGCGAGCTTGATCGAGATTTAGTGAGTTAGTATATGGTACATCCGGATGTACCTAGAAATAGTTACATCCATGTATTACTCATTCCGAAATAAAGTAGTACTCATTCTCGAACAAGCATAATAGTTCATTTGAAAAATGTGGTAATCATTCTGAAATAACGCAGTACTCATTCAGAATTAAAGTCGTATTCATTTTCACAAATTTATTCAATATTCATTTACGTATAAGATAATATTCATTCTAAAACACATTAGTACTCATTCCCATGTACTCCATCAATAAACTTGAAATCGCTAAGAAAAGATCCAAAGCAACTGGAATCCCTACTTCGCAGCATCTTCATCCTGAATCGCCCATTGGACCTTCCCGCAGCCTAGTAATCGCCGATAGATCGCGCAGCCTGCTTCTCCTCATCTCCGGATGTACGGTATAATTTGCTAGATTTAGTGGATCTTTTTCTTCGATAATACACGGACAGGAGGGAGAGGAGCGGCGACGGAGGAAAATTGGCGATTCTTCAGGAGACACAGAGCAGAGACGGAAGGACGGTCGGCGATCATTCTTCTTCGGCGAACACACAGACATCGAGCGAGGAAAGCAGACCAACTGAGACGAGTAGGAGCAGAGGAATCGCCGATTCTGTTCTCGACGAGGATACGTAGTGCAGCGGGGGAGGAAGGAGATCAGGCCAGTCTCAGGCGAACAGCAGGCTGCGAACGGCATTTTCCAGCAACTCTCAGGCCACGCAAGGGACTCAAATTGCTTCGGTATTGCTTTTCAGTGTTGTTTTCTACTCCCAGTCCCATTTTAAGCTGCTTCTTTTTATTTAAGATATTTGATCGAAATTATTTTTAAATGAATTTATATAAAAATTGAGGTAGAATTTAAAGCAATTTGCTAATGATAAAGTGTCATGATTTTGCAAACCTCTAAACCAAACCAACTTGCTTTTCTTAATTAAAGTTTCAAATCCAATTTAGTTCTCTCTCTCTCTCTCTCTTATTTGCTCGTGCTTTTATCTTTTAGTTTTAGTTGATCTAGCTTTTGAATTTGTTTTTTAACACTAATAACTCTATCACAAACCAGTATGTGTCCATACATTCTAGGGATTGAAGCTCGTAGAGTTAGAGTTATTTATGTTCTTAGAACATAAATAACTACTTCTGGGTCACAAGCTTGAGCTTTTGGTTGAATTGGAACCTTGACATGGTATCGGAGCCTCGTTGACTAAGGGTCACGGGTTCGAAACTTAGCGCTACCCAGTTTAAAAAAATTAAGATTTCACGTGCAAGGCTCGAAAAAGACTACGCCTGCACGTGAGGGGGCATGTTAGAACATAAATAACTGTTTCTGGGCCACAACCACAAGCTTGAGCTTTTGGTTGAGTTGGAACCTTGACAGTTAGTTTGGTTTTACTTTATCTTTAGTTTCTCTCCAATTCAATCAACCTCCCATTGTGTGTGTGTGTTTAGTGACCAGTCTAGTTAGAAACAAACATTCTACCCTCTGTGTAAGAATGACCCTAGTTGCCACTATGCTACCCTTTTAATTACGTTTAGTATTTGTTGGTACTAAGGTACTAATTTGTTAGGCTTGTGACAAGTCTTTAACACATCCGTTCATGCCGTGTATGCCAAATAACCAAGTACTCCACACAACCCCCTGCTGGCTTGCTCCTCAGGTGTGGTATCATGTGACCATGGACTTCATTGTTGGCCTTTCCTGCTCTCGTGGCTACACTAGTATCATGGTCGTGGTTGTCTGAATCGCCAATTATGATCAATTTGGACCATTACCAGTCTCCTTCGATGCAACCTGCGTTGCCACCCTCTACTTTGACACCGTTGTTAAGTTGCATGGGCTTCCAAGCTCCGTCGCTAATCGCAATCCTACTTTTATAAGTGCCTTTTGGTCATAACTGTTTAAATTGAGTGACAACTAACACCACTCTTCGCCTAAGCATCACATATCACCCTCAGACGGACAGAGAGGTCACGAATCGCGGATTATAATAATACGTTTGAGCCTTCACCCATTTTCGTCCAACTGAGTGGGCGTCATTCTTTACCTGGCCTGAGTACTCCATCAACACAAGGCCGGGACCAGTTCCTCTGCCACCTCCGGACCTCCATATCATCCATTGAACATTGCATGTGAGACCGGGCAAATAAACATTGCTGCTAAGTTCACTTCAAGGTTGGGGACCAGGTTCTTCTCAAGCTTCAACCCTACTGGCAATTCTCAGTGGCACGCCCCTCCTCGCAGAAGCTCACTCAACGTTTCTATGGCCCTTTCGAAGTCATAGGCAAGATTGGGCAGGTTGCCTACAATCTATTCCTTCCCGAGCATGCACAAGTTCATCCAATGTTTCATGTTTAACAACTATGTCCATATCACTCTGATCATACTTCTCCACCATTGGCTTGTCTCCCAGCAATTTTTTTCGACAGCTGACCAATTTCTCGACCCGTAGCTGTTCTCGACACTCGGCAACATATTTTGCAACTGTCAAAGGGAAGAACAATGGCTCATCATAGTCATCAAATAGAGCGACGGTGACGCGATTGATGCTTTCTGGGAGCCTGTCGCGCTCATTCGCCCCCACTTCCCTACACTACACTTTGAAGACAATAGATGTTTGTCGAAGCGGGGGGAATGATACAACCTAGCACAAACTGTATGATGAGCATGAGACCAACGCCGAGCATGAGTCACATTTCGATGCCGAGCATGAGACAACCACTGAGTCCCTATTCCACCCACACCAAGATGGTTAGAGGATTACATGACATGAAGGGTAGTTATGAAAGCCATGGCACCCCACTACACCAATCATTATCCATAATGTAATTCCATTATGCAGTGGTTATTTTCCACTAAGGAATTATGGCTACTTGATAGTTTATTAGATTAATTAGTTGTAGCCTTGTAATTTTATTGTTTGGAATGATTATGAAACTATTTCACTTCCTCCTCCAGTCTCGTTCCTTTCTAGTTCCCAACTCATCATTCTTCTTCTACCTCCCCCTCTAATCTTCTCTTCACTAATATTACTCTCAAAATATTGGAGTTAGAAGACACTCAAAGTCTTCACTTCTCATTTCCCAAGTTCTTATCAGTTTCACTGTATGACTCAACCTTTTATGTTTTGTTATTTAAGATTGACCAAAGACACATGCTTCCACTTGGTAGTAGTAAGATGTAACAATATTTCTCTTTATAATTCCTTGCCCAATTTCTTCCGTTTGAAATCAGTCATTCTTTGTTGTGTTTGGTGTTCTATGTTTCCCTCTTTTTTGCTATCCATACTCATTTGGCTTGTTAGATGTTACTAGAACTCAGCAGTCCATTTTTCTTCTAAAAAAGAAAAGAGTTAATTTGTTGTAATCAACTTTTATTATATAGTATTTTCTTTATTACACTTTTGGGTGCAGAAATAAATCTTTTACACTCTGGGAGTTCTATTTTAAGACATGCATTTGATTTTAAATTACGAATTTGTTCAGTTTGTGTGTCAATTTGAATCAAATGCATTTGAATCGTCTCCCTTGGACAGGTGGTTCTAAAAAAGAAAAGAGTTATTTTGTTGTCAATTTGAATCAAATGCATTTTTGTCTTAGCACTTGCCATCACTGGATGCTGCATTTGCTATTTTTCTGGCAAGGTTTTGGTTTCTCTGGTTATCAGCAATGTTTTTGAGATGGATTTCTCTCCTTATTTTAGTGAGGCTGGGATATGTCTTTTAGGAAAAAGCATAAATTTTTAGGGTTTTTGTTTTTATGTTATGTGCTTGTTCTGGAGATTGTTTTTTTTCATAAACTTTGATGAGTCACACTTCTCTTCCCATACAAACTTCTCTCCCCTTTTTTTCGCCAAACATATACAGTATAAACCAAATTGTGATGTATACTACACTACCTTTGATTTTGTTACCTATGACCTTTTAATTTAGTAGAGTACTAAAAGTCGTTATTCTTTAATGGATATAGTAAGTTTGTTTCATATTGGAGCCTGATCGAACATTGGAAAAAGGAGTCTAGGCATCATTTGCATCTGGAGCTTTCTATGGTACCATTGCCACAACATTGACTAATCCAATGGATGTTCTAAAGGTACACACTGCACAATAGATGTATAAATAAAAAATGGAGAAAATATCTTTATCATATATGCAATGCTTAAAAAAATACAGATCTCAAAACAAAAAAAAAGAATATTTTCGAGGAAGATATGCTAAAGAAATCAGAATATCTCAAGTAGATATGCTAAATCAATCATGATTAATTAGTCTCTTGCTAATTAAAGTTAATACCATGAAATTGGAATGTAGTAACTAGTCATGTTTTTGTAGATCTATAAACACGCAAGTGAAATTCACATATGTGCCTTATGTGTCCCAGAGCTCAATTGTTGCAGCTGCCTACACAAGGAGATCTCAGGGCGAAGCTGCAAAGAACCCCAACCGAAAATCATGGAAACAAAGAACAGATATGTATATGAGACCATTTTTGTTGGATGTTTTCTTTTCAAGGAGGTATATCGAGGCGAAAGTGGTGCACCGACCAACCAGCAAGGTCATCTCAGTGGCTACAACAAATGCCAAGGACCTCAGGACTACACTGCCATCACTTTTTGACAATAACGCAGCCAGGGTTATAGGGAAGTTGATTGCTGAGAGGTCAAAGGATGCTGATGTATTTGCAATGGCGTACGTGCTTAGGAAGAATGAAAGGATAGAAGGCAGGCTGGGAATTATCCTTGATACTATTGCAGATAACGGTATTATCATTTTATAGTCTCCAACTTTAAGGGCGTGTTTGGTTGGAGGGGAGGAGTAATGCACTTCTTCCCCTCGTTTGGTTCAAAAAAAAAATTGGAGGGGACAAAAGGCAAACGTTTTCCCTTCTCTCCCTGACAACAAACCAAACAGGGAGGAGATGGAGCAATATACTGGGCTGTTTTTGTTGCCGTTGCTTCGAACAAACCGGACATGGAAACATATAAAACCCAATCCTCTCGCCGAACCAAACACACCCTAGAGATTTTGATGGAAATAAATAATCAAGACTCTGTCTTCCATGTTTTTTTAGTACTTTTTGTTAAGCCCACTTCCATAGAAGATTGTCGATAGTGCTAAGTGACTCCCCTTTTACGTACGTGTATTTTTTTAACCCATTTCAAGGTAGTATTTGTTTGTACATTCTCAACATATTGAAACTCGTAGAGTTACTACATGCACCGGAGATCCAACAAATGACCAAAGCCATAGCAGTGGCATTGGACTACAATTTCATTGGCTTTTACATACGTTGATTGAATCCCAGAGGGAGTGTTTAGTTATTCTTTGTGCTTTAATAGATCAAAAAAATTTGGAGTAGATACCAAAATCACAAAACCCAAGTAAGTTCACAGTACAATTATCCAAATGATAATTTCCTTTTACAAAGTTTTAAAATGTATCTATGGCTTTTAGAAAAAAACTATATTAACCCCATTTTAATCTCATTTTTATCCCAATTGTCTTTATAGACATTACAGACACGAATAGTGTTTCATGTTTGCAAAGACAATTGGGGACAAAAGTGGGGTTAATATATAGCCATGATTCAAGCTAGAAACAAAGAAAAAAAGTAAAACTACCTACGTCCAGCAACACCTTTTTAATACTCCGTGATTTCAGAAATATAAGGTTGTTTCTCATAGTCTTCTCTTTTAAAGAACAATAAAATTTTAAAACTCCTTTATATTGACGATTAAATTTGCAACATTATGTTGAGAAGATAACCAAATATACCCATGATTAATTCAAACCTTTGATACAATTTAGGTACTCCCTCCTCTCACAAATTAACTTCTCACTATAAACAATGTATAAAATCTAGAAAATATTTTATTTACAAATTGATATAGAAATTATATATTTCAAAACTACATAAAAAATCATGATAAATAAGATATAACAAGGATATTTTATTTTATCAAATTTTAAACGAAACACACAAATAAACAAACATTATCGAGCACTCAGAATAGTAACCTAGAAGTTAATGTGTGGACGGAGAGTATATAATTTAATTTCAACCATTTGCCAAGACATTTGATAAGCTAAACTAAGTCTATTGCAAAATACTACTCACTCCGTCTTATTTTAAATTTATTAAACGTGTTGATTAACTTTTTTTTATGAAAGAAAAGATAGAGATCAATATCATTCGTGGAGTATGAAACAAACAGACCGCTTGAGTTATGCCTAGTGTGGCCTAATTCACTGAACGGTAAGCAAAAGAGAAATATATGACTTGGAATCTTCTTCTTCATTGGGAGTGGACTCTCTTAATAAATTTCTTGTCACAGAGCACTATAGAGGAGATGAGCTTCAAGGTTTTCTTGTTTGCTTTTTTGGTTGTCAATGCTTTCTGATTGTAATCTAAGTAGCTGGTGAACTCTGCTCTTCAACGGCATTGGTCAAGCAAAGAAAATGCATGTAATTAATTAACTGATTAGTTCTACAAATCCTTGCAAGTTTAAATTAATGCCCAACTCATTTCTGTCCAAAAGGTCCCAACACAATGGTTGATTTGAATATATTCTCTCCATTCGCATTTAGATATTATGACTTTTATGATACATCATAAGTGGAATGAATCCGGACATACGTCATGTCTACATTCTTTCCACTTTTGATGTGCCCTAATGGCGAATTACATGTGAATGGAGTATAAGGTTAGTGCAAGGGTCAGACAGTCAGGTAAACTGAGCACATGCATACATCATCAAGGCCAATTTCGCTCTTAACTGAGACGTGTAACGCCCCATTGGGTCCCATTTTTCTGTACTTTACGAGCTGGGGATGATCAGTTTTGGCATCTTCCGTTACAAAGAGAAGAGGGGATTGATGGAGCAGGTCACATTTGGAGACAACGTCAAGCCATATATGATCATTAAACTTTCCTCTCGTTTCCTTGTAAATGGCAAACCGCACCGAAAGAACATTAATCAGATTCTTCGATGTGTTCCTATCTAAGGCCATATAAATGGATTCCTTTGATTTCTAAAACAGCAGAACCGGCTTCACAAACCGAAAGATTCTTAAACAAAGTTTATGAGGGTGAAGAGAAAGTATGCAAAAAGTGATATACCTGATCTGGAGTTTATGAAGCACACATCTATTAATTAGTATCCATAATAGGAAAGAAGTGATTTCTGAAGAATTAAACTTAGGGTGGAAGGGTCTAAAGTCTGAACAGGTAAACAACAAAAAATTGAGACAAAAACATGAAATTTTGGTTGTGCATGTACATATAATGTTGGAAATCAAGCTTCAAATTTAGTAAGTGGTTGTTAATACTCTGCATCTGCATTATATCATATACACATATTTTAGGATTCACTTGTCCTACTAGTATTTATATCAACTTTTTTGTTTATGAGTACATTCTTTTTTTCCTGTTAAGCATTTATTTCTGAATTGAATAAATTGTTTTTTTTTGTTTTCTTGGTTCAACGAACTACATCCTGATTGTTTGTATTTGCTTTGATTATTTTATTTGTTCTGCTGCATTATCTCTCTATCTATTCTTGGTAGGGGCAGTGTGAGCATACTCCCAAGTCCCACCCCAGACTCAATTTTGTGGGATTTTCATTTTAATAGGTAGGTTGTTTGTTATTGTTGCATTATCAAATTGTAGTATTAATTATTTAATTTGTACTATTTCAGATAGCACTCAACCTGGCCGTTTACTTATTGCTAGTGGAATCATTACAGATACTAGTAACTCTCACGTCTCTGTATGTGCTCTAGTTTTTTTTTAAATAATTAAAAAAGGTGTATTATTTCGGTAATGTGTCGCAATTACATGCAAAAAGGTTCTTTCCAGTGTTCTGATTCAATCTTTTTCCATAAATTTATAGGTATCATTTTTAAAACATTTAAGGCTTCCAGGAATTAGATTGCAAGATCTCCATCAGCAATCTTGGTGATCTTAAGGTGAATGTTCCCTTTTGTCAATTTTGGAATTATCAAAAACATTATGGGGCTAACCTAGCTTTCATAAAAGGAAATTGAAGCAGAAGACTACCAATTTGGTAGGATCCTTATGATGCTGATATGTTATAGGTGCCTATATTCAAAAAATTGCTCCCAGGTATCCCCTATTTTGGAATAAAGACTCGCACTCCCATTTTTTCTAAAACATACTCTTGGGGGCTTAAAATATGATGTTTGTGATTGAGGATGGAACTTCAATGTATTACACCGTTTTCTACCTTAACTCCGGTTATTTTAATTATAAAAGGTATTGAAATGCCTAATATAACCCTCACTGTTTCCTCTTTGATGTTAGAAATGCTGCAACTTAGGGTTTGAAATTTACGGCGAAGCTTCGAAGGAGAGAGGCGAAGCTTCATCTGTGTTTCTTCAGGTATTCCCTTAATTTGACTAAGCTCTCGTGCATGTACTTGAATATCATGAGGTTGGGGTTTATTCTATTTGGACGCAGGTTTATTCTACATTTGAATTGAATATGATCTTCGGTCAGTAATGGATCAAAAGAGGTATTAAGGTAAATATTGTTACTGTGAATGACTCTACATAGTTCATTTATAACTATAGGCTCTGTGTTTTGATTTTTGTACTAGCCACTCTTTCAATTCATCAAGAAGAACTTGTGAGTATGATGAATGGTTGGAGGTACCTACCTGTAGGTGCGGGAAAGACATGAGTATTCTTATATCTTGGACTGATAAGAATCCTGGAAGAAGAATGTGGAAGTGTGATGGAAATGTAAGACATATATTTAAGTTTTTTTTAGCAATATACAGTTGTTTTTTTTGCTAAAGTAGGTCGATGTTGAACAAGGTACTCACAAATGTCGTTATTGGGAATGGCTCGACCCTCCAATATGCGACCGAGCTAAGAAGATCATTCCCGGACTTCTAAAGAAGAGCAGTGCAAAACATGAAGAGATTAAGCTTCTAAATTAGCGTATCAAAGAGAAGAAAATTGGAGACTTTATGTTTGGGTTTTGTGCTGCATTGGTCATCAACATGGCAATATTTGTATTGTTATGTAATTTAAGGTTACTTGAACTAGTGTTTGTATGATTTATGTAAACGGGTTTGTATTTTGATGTAGTGTTTCTAGAATTAGTGTATTTCATGTGATGTACTTTGGTACTCACAATCAATGTGAAAAAGATTATGTTTTTAAATTACAATACATGTAGTGCAATGTAAAGTGAATCATAACTTAGTTGAGAGCTTAACCACTCCAACGCCAAATATAACCACTCTTGAGGAACCAACACCAAATATTGATCAACACCAAATATATAATCACTCTTAATTCTGGTTTGCCCATGAGGAACCAGCACCAAATCTAACCAATCTTGCTACCAAAAATGGAACCAGAAAGGGTGCCTTGTTCAGAGCTGAATGAGCAAAACAAAGGCATGAAACCATGTCTTGAATAACATTGAAACAGATCTTTGAATAACACAGTGCCATTGAAACCAACAAAAATAGTTAACCAAATCAAACCAACAAAAATAGTTAACCAAATCAAAAATAGTGCCTTTTAATTCTTTAGCCAAGAGTTTTACATTGAACTCAATCCTCTCAAATACTTTACTACCTCCCCCCACAAGCTTCTTTTTCTTCATTTTATGTGTCCCATAATTCTCAACCTCCTTTCTAGTGCTTCTATCAGGTAATGTACTTGTGGCTGAGAGGTGTGGAGAGGAATTAGTAATGGATGGAACCTTAGGGTCTAAGACAGATGGTTAGAGCTGCACTTCAATTGTCTTACTCATTTTCCTCCTCACATTTAATTTAGATTTATTACCACCATTTACTTCACTTTCAAAATTCTGACTATAGTTTGTTGGTGTTACAAGCAAATTGTCAGCCCAAAGTTCAACTTCACTAGTACTAAGCTCCTTAAAATTTTAGGTAGTAACACCAAGTTCCTCTGCCATTTTTTTGTAATGCACTAACCTATTGTAACTCAACTACAAATAAGGGAATGTAATTACAAGCAACTCCCCCAAACCTCAACCATCTTAATCCAATCTCTATCAGAAGCTAGTGCCTCTTTCTGAATTTCTTTACATGGAGGATGATATCTAAAACCAAGAAACCTAGGAAGACTTATATTCTATTCTTTAGCTTTGGAAATGACATCCTCGAAAAAATCTTTGGTGAAGTAAATGTCCAAATCAATATCTTCAATCACAATGCATTTATCTTTCACATAAAGCCTAAATCCCGTT